TCTGTTGCCTGGCCCTTGTCTTCTGTTGTCACAGTTCGAGACAACTGGATTTTCCACATAGCGATTTGATATACAGGTAATGGTTGAATTTAATTCACCGGCTAGGAGGATCAAGATTCCCAAACGGATAATCCACAAAATGGGTACTTTCTGGTTTGAGAGGGAAAAGCACGTTGTGCTCAAGGAGGGCGCGCTTACCCAATACGCGCAGAAAGCCAAAATAAGCGCTCTCACTGCCTCCAGCTTTATTATAGGGAACCGATAAACTTCTCCCAATGATTCTCAAGCCATTGAAACCCCACTGTCAAGGAACTTATCCCCAAGTTCCTACTGTTACGAAGACACTCCGCGCCGATAAAAACTATGCACTTTCTTCGACTTTAACTACAAAACACCAGTATTATAAGAAGGAAGCTATTATTTGACAGTTAAGGCGGAGAACAGTGAAAGTCCATAGACAAATATTTTATATAAAATTATGGAATACTTTTATTCGTTTATGGTCTTCGAACTTGCACACGATCGAACCATTCGTGCCTTCGAGTTACCCACCAATGGCTACCAAATCCAAAAACAAATGTTCAGTGTTCATCTTCACTGACCCCCACAGAGCCAGCTACCATCTTCAAAATATCCCCCAACGGAGTGTTTCCACGTAGATGGATAGGTACGATGCGGACTACTTCCCAAAAAGGAGGATCTAGCCTCTGTTGTAGGGGGTCAGCGAAGTTTGTCGAGCCAATCGAACCTTCGATAACCAGTTTCCTTGTCTGTGCAGACTGGAGCATGCTAGCAGGTCAGGTTGGCCAGGCTATAGAATCTCCGGGTAGTGTGGCTAGAGCTCAGGTCTAGAAGGATGGGTGGCCACGAAAAAATCCTGGGTATTACGTCTAGTGGAAACCAACTGGAGGCAAGGTCGAGGTCATTCATTCAGCCCAACTAATATGTTTACTAGATTGTCATTTAGACCAGATGCCTTTTAATCTTGCTAGCATCTTATTTAGCACCCTGGAAAGGACAATCAAGAAGTGTACCATAATACGTTCGTAAAACAACACTGAACTATCTAATGTATAACACGGCTCGCGATAAAAACAATCCTGCGTGCTGAAACTTCTCACAGAAAGGCAAATGTGGGGATGACAAGAAACCCATCGTCTTTATTTTCACGGATTTCAAAAAATTTCGACAAATATTCTTATGATGCTCTACAGTATTGTCAACTCCGTCAAGGATTTCCTAGAGAGTAGGAAGGAGATATCTAAGGTCAGCTCTTTCCGGACAGCAGTGCGTAGTAGAACACAACAAGGTGTTGCACTAGGTTCACACCCGTTAGTCCTGCATGCTAACAAGTTACCTGGGTTCACTTTATCTCCCATGGTACTCTACTCAGATAACTTGGGGACTTAAAGAAGGCTGATAATGACAAATCCACGTTTTTTATGCAAAGAGGTATCAGTCACCCCTAAAAATTATTCACGCGACGGGTGCTTCTTCCAACATAGAGTAATGCGCAACCCTGCCCATTGAACACGCCGAGGGTAGATCGTATGGCACAGATGTACTACTACAGCCGTCAGTTTAACAAAGGCCAATGTGGGTGGCATAAGAAATGATGGCCTCGACACGATGTCATAATGTCGCCCGGTTACCGCTTAAATCTTTTCATGCTGACAGAGAATACGTGGGGTCTTTAATGTAACCATCAGGGAAGGGTAACCAATTTAAGTACACCCCTGATGAAATGGAAACTAGAAAACTGCATTTGAGCAGCAAGCTCTTGCCTAAAATAGGACTCACATATACCTAAAAAAGCCCACAGAAAGGCCATGTGTACGACCCACGGTACAGCGAACTCATCACATATGGATTTAACAGTCTAGACCTCTTCTCGTTTTCAGGCTGTAAGCAGAGTCAAAATTTCTTCAAGATATTCAAAATTTTAAAGAACGGTCATGTGTCTGATGCATTTTCTTTTTTACTTCCCACCAGTTGGAAACGTTTCAAAGGACAATTAGAATCCAGAAGCGAATGGGAAACTGATCACTGGGGAATATTCTTCTTACACCGAGCTACTTACTCTCAAAACTGGTCCTCAGAAGTAGTCGTACTTGAGTACTCAATCATCTAGTCTGAAAGACGATGAGAGGAGTGCATGTACCTGTTAGAAAGTGGTGTGGAGCCCTTTGCCCTCAACTGAAAATTTGAATTAGTATATTAAATTTTTCCTAACGATCCGGCAAAAAAACTAACTGTGTAAAGTAGAACATAACGAAGAATGATGTGACAAATATTGTTTTCTCTAAAGAAACACCAAATTATTATCATCAGTTATATCTATTATTCTATAAGCGTGCGTAAGATGTTACTAAGGGCATCAGAACGCCAGAAATCTTTCTTTTCCCTGGTAAATTTGAAAAGGTGATAGATAAACAAGTGCTGTGATCTTAGGAAATACTACTGTTTGAATAGCCGTAAGCGTGTCTCTGGAGGAATTAACAAAGCTCAGTCCAGAAAAATCCCAAGGATAAGACTAAATGAATACTGTGACCAGTAATTCTGGTGACCTACCCACTGCTACAATCTTATGTGGGATTGACATCTCCCACAAGCAGACAGACCACTACCCTAATAAACAAATGAGACACAAGTGCCAACTATGCTGGAGACGCAACCAAAACTATCAGAGGGGTCTATGTTGTAATTATTTGTAATCGTAGTATTAGTATTTCGAGACGACCGAATTACAAGAATTCAACCAAAACACAGAGAGGGCGGAATTCAGGAATTTGTATTTAGCGGAATTATTATGCAATTCATATAAGAAATATATTAACAAGCAACAGTAAGTATTTAAACAATAAAGATAAAAATAGTCAATCACCACAGTCTATTTACTTCACAGGGGGCACGGAACATTGACAATCAGATGATCTACGCAGCTGTGACAAGCATATGTGCAGTCACATGTTAGAGTTCACAACATCAGTGCACCACCAATTATAAAAAGAGATACGAGTCTTTCAGAGAGGGTAAAACTAGGGTTTACCAAAACTGTCACCTGAATGAAACGCTAAAATCATAAAATTGATTGAGACAAATGACCCTCAGTGCCCTAGTCCAATATTCTTGGTTTGAGTCGTCAGAAGAAATGTGGTACACCATCCCACGAGACAACCCTGACAGAATCGCTCGTAAAAAAGCAGCAACAGAGGTGAGGCTAACCTCTCTTCGTTTTGGAATTCATTGCCTACCAATATGGGAACCGCAGCATCAGTCGATAGCTTTAAGAGAAAGCTAGGTAAACATTCAAAAATAGTAGGCCTACGTGCATCTAAAGGTGGAGTAGTCTAGCTCTAGGCGGCTGTACTGGTTATAAAAATAGCCCTCTTATTTTACATACTTCAATGATTTATTCCAAGTTTTATTATAGTCTAAACCTTTAGCAGTTTCCTTCTGCTGTTTTCTTTTATTTATGTCAAGTATGCGTGGTAACACACTGTATAACATATCATACACCCAATTATCTTAGCCTACATTCCACTCGTTTAAACTACTCATTCTGTAGGTTCCCTTCCAACCTACTTAGTACTGCTCTCCCTGAAGTGATTATTGATCTCTTTGGAGAACAACGAAGCGAGATTTGCTGGTACCAGCAACTACACTGCGGTGTTACGAATCGTACATTCTACTCAAAACAAACAAATGTACCTTCTTTTATTGGCACAGCGGTTGGAACTCTCGCCAACCATGGTCCATGGTTCGATTCCCTGCCAACGCACACCTGATATCAATGGTCGGCCTGAAAAATGTGGGCTACTGATATCACATGCTGAAAATTCCATATTTGTACCAAAAATACAGTGTGGAATCAAGCTATAATCAAAATTTAAAAAATGTATAGAAGCTCACGAGATACATTGTACTCAAATTCGCCATAGATCCAAAAGGGCATAGAAACAACAAGAAACAAGAAATCACCGGGTTTATATAAGCTTATCAAAATGAAATTGGATATTGGACACCATTACTTATTGGAAACGGAGAGTTGGAGTTCATGCATGGAGAAGCGCCACGTTCAGCTTTGAAGGTAAGAGCATGCAGCAGAGTTCTTGTTAATAAATGAATTCTGTTAGGTTTTTTCCAACACTATCAACGAGTAGGAAAGTGTGTTCTATAACGCTATTGTTGAACTCTGCCAACTATCCATTGAGTGTCTGCGAGCATTATTTATTCTATATGTGATAGGTATCACGAAATGAAGCACCCTTGCTTCTTCACCAAATGATAACCAGTTTGCGTCATATCTACCATACTTTTCCTTAAAAGTCATTGCATTTTCGGTCAAGAGTGAGGTCATTTGTACAGTCTACCCTCTTTAATAGGGCTGAGTGAATAGTTAGGAACTCGAAACACTTGAAACTGCAGACTGCAGCTTTCAGCCATGGCTGCGAGTAGCTTTATTTGTAGGCGTATCATCGTATTGGTGACTGACTGACTGACAGCACAAGTGTGTCTCGTTGAGCTACATCCTTGCATGTAAGAGGGAACTCGCGAGATGCCTGTATTAGCAAATGAAGTATATTGCCGTTTGAGTTACATTTCTCACAAATCTATTTCACGCTGTACAATTACTCGGCATTTTGTCTCAAACAAATGGCTTGGTCTTGACATGTTTGTGATGCCCCGTAATTCTCACTAACATCTACTCCATTGTGTTGTAATAGTAGTGAGGTGATCGAGTTATGTTAAGTGCTACTATCTATCGTTGGGGGAAATATCCGCATGTAACTATATCACTATGATATGTTCTGATGACTCAGAATTTCACTAGGAATCTAAATATCTGCGTTTAGTTTGTTACATCCCAACAGTGTTCCACTCTAGATTCTAGTTCATGTTTCAGTTTCTCAAGCGTGTTTATTTTTCTATGCAGGTCGTCCGTTATAATGCCATTTGTTGACGTTAGCGATGGGATAAATTACGGAAACTAATAGAAAATGAAAGGTAATTGTTATGCTGATGTAAGGGTAAAGTGTAGAAAGTTGGTGTTATGCTTATCAGCACCTAATACGCCCCAGTGTGTCCAAGTTCACGAAGCTCTGAAAACACTTGATGAAGATTCAGCAAACGCAGAAATTACATTTGTAAATGTAAGTTTACATAACCATTACGTGTCTTATGGCGAATGCAGAACAGTTGACTCTAAATTAAAGTGAGCTGTTTACAATTTGCCGAACATTAAATACATTTTGACCTGACCGGCTGACTGAGAAATTCAGTTTGGTTCTCATTTGAATGTTACACAAGTGTTTAAACTACCGAGTACGACTGCAGTTCATCGATTTTCTATTCTGAATGTGGATTGCACAGTATTTAATCAGAATGTTTTTTACTAAATTTCAGGTGGATGCAGAAGCCGTTTCTGAAGTTGCGAAACAACTGAAAGTCAATTCTGTTCCCACGGTTTTGTTTTTCCTGGTAAGCAACTTGACCCTATTGATTGTAACCCATATTAATCACTAAAACAATGGTGTGACACTGCTAAGAAAGGAAGCTGAAGACTAAAATGATAGTTGATGTTTGTCGAAAATATATGAAAGACCACACTATATTGTAAAATTTAAAACTTTCCTGTTGGGTAGCCATGGATTTTGTAGCTAGATGTCTGGATCTAGTCCCACCGTATTTTTACTAGATCAATGCATTCACTTTTTAATGTGGCGCAGTTGAAGTGTTTAGAAGTTTGAAAGCTTAATTGAAGCACTGTGTATAAAATACAGTCACTATAGAATATCGACTCTAGTCACTTGGTACTAAATTTAGGAAGCTCGATGTACGTTGTTGGTTGGGACACGTACGCGACGATTCTACATCCAGTCTAGTTTTAGATGGTTGTAGAAATAATAAATGAAAAGAATCATTGAGGAAGAACAAAATCATGATGTGGTCCCAGTTTATGGTTTTCACAAATGGCCTGAGTCATATAGATAAGTTTAGAAAGTTCGGAATATTATAGAGTTGCAGAGACATATCCTCATATTATTTCCTGACAAATGGCACACTTCATTACGCTGCAGTAGCACAACTGTTTCTATGATCAACACTGATCTTAACTTCTACCATGTGTCAACTTTCCGCAATACTTGGTAGCAAGATGAACTAATACGGTATACATATACATGTCTAACTAAGTAAATAAATTAACAATATAAGTATGTACCCGAAAAGTGATTTCAAAGGCCAGTTCTTTTGTTCCAGTAAGAAGTAACAACAGAAAATTGATAAATGTTAACATGTGATCGATTAATTCAGATATCTGGCTTCAGATTGGTGGATTACTTTGTCTGCTAGTCATGAAGTTTCACGAATCAAGAAGTGACACCCTTCAAACAGTAGATATGGTTGTCGATAAGCTCACAAACCTGTACGTGGTTATTAAGTTACTTTTTATTCTGATATGTACTGTGCCAACAATTTTATATTTGAACTGAAAACAGTAATTTATCCGACTCCACTCTTTTCTCGATTAAAAAGGCAGGTAAAGAAGTGAACCGCGTTTGTGGCGTAACTATTCCTGATATTACAAAATCTGTAATCCATTTAAGATCAGCTTCAGTTAATGGTTCCTCCATCGACCTGTCATCTCGCCTTCAATCCTTGATTAACAAAGCACCTGTTATGCTTTTTATGAAAGGCAATCCTGATCAACCTCGATGTGGCTTTAGTCGTCAAATTGTCGAGATTTTGCGTTCAAACAATGCAAAATTTGATACATTTGATATCTTACTAGATGAACAAGTTCGACAAGGTTTGTACTCACTTTAATGGTATCATGCATGTGGGATGTTAATCTAGATTTTTTGAGGTTTTTTACCTTCCGTGTCTTTACGCAAAAAACTACATGATTCTATTAGACTTGGTCTTCAGTAGATGCAATATCCATATGTAGACGATGACAGATCGAATTCTCACATCTCTATTTATTCTTCCATGTTCTAATTGTCAGAAATGCGGCAACAGACTATTCCTTCATTTCAACATAAGCAGACTCGTTTATTCTGTTCCACTCATATATTGTTTTAGAACTATTTTGCACAAATGTCTAGTATATCTAGCACATGAAATTCTTCTACACTGTCAAGGATATCACTGATCAATGCTCTATACAGCAATGTGGAGCTAGACTAGAGAAACAAACCACACGAACTTTCGAACTGACATAATCCATCTCTAGTTCTTTGAAGATAAGCTTGGTATGCATCATGTCGCTCTGCCTAAGTACTGTGCTCAGATTCAAATATATCTGAGCTGCTGTTGTATAAGCCAAAAGATCTAACTAGTTTAAACTAGCTATCTGATAGAACAAAAGGTTCGACTTCAAGCTGTATTTGGCATCATTTAGGATCATATCTGGTGTTATCGATTGTCACAAAACGCGTATCATTGATTGCAGGATTTTCGAAGCACTTCAAAATGAATAGTCTAACGATTGTAATACACAATTAAAAGCTAGTATTGACATCTCAGCGTCACATCTTATCATTCTGTTAGAGTTAAAATATTGTTTAACCTGTTATATACTCTTGCTGTACAATGAATACGTGTAGTGATTAAGAAGTAAAGTGGAGAATAGATATCGAAATGTAGAGTTTTTAATTGTTATTACCACAGTACATGATTGTTGAAAAAATGTATGCACGTTCTTTGCAAGTCTTACGTTGAAAGTTAATTTCAGTATACACCTACCTAACTGTGATAGCTCTTTCCATGAATATTCACTCCTCGTCATTTTCGCCCTCACAATATATTCCAGTTATAACCATTTTTTTATATGGCTTCACTGACTTGACAACGTAAATCTTTGCTCAAAATGCATCAGTTCAGTTTTGTCATACTTCGGAAAACTATGCACAACAGTAGAGAGAAATGTAACAAAACTGTGTTAGATGTGAACGTATTCAAGATAAGATAATTATATGATCAGTGATGATTTTCAAACTTCGGAAGACAATAAAGAGTGAAAACATACACGACTGTTAAAAGTTTTGAATCATGCCACCAATAGTATTCAGTCTGTGACAATCTCTCAAGTACACCTTTCTACGTGGCTTGATTTCAGGTCGGCTCGGTTCGGTTCGTCGTCAAACGTAAGTAACTAAATGTTCTTATCAGTGTAAGCGGAATACGATAGGATCCATTCTACACTCTCTCAAACATCTTTTGTCTGTCTGTCTGGATTCAACATAGAACTTGGCACCGAAGTGCAGCAGTTCGAGTTGCCACGTCCCAAATAGCACACAAAAGTAGACAAGAAGATGAGTGGAGAGAATCAATAGAGTTTGACAAGTATAAGAGTGAAACAGAATGGGTAATGGTAGAAAGGAATATGAAAGATTACAGAGACTGAATACATCTGCGCCATTGACAACGATTTTGAGCCATGTCACCTATTGTCTCCAGTCATTGATTCCTAGAGTCCCGATCTTAAACTAGTTTAACGAGAATAACCATGTACTGTCAAAATGTCTCTCAAATCTTTAATGAAGTTGCCTATTAGTTTGTGGTCAATAACAATATTTCATTATTTTTAACATTTGTTTGGCATAATTTTCATTTCTTTTTCTCCTTCAGGTTTAAAAGCCTTCTCAAACTGGCCAACATATCCCCAGTTGTATGTGAAAGGTGAATTAGTTGGTGGGTTAGATATCGTGCGAGAGTTAGCTGAATCTGGAGAATTAGCGTCGATGCTTAAAGACCAGTGAATTCATCATGTAAAAAAGAAGCAACTTGTATCCCAAATAATGATTGTATTTCTTCTATTTAACTTCAATATACTTATGGTGATTTTGTGAATCTACTTTTCAAGTTTTTTGCTAGTCTCAACTTTCTCACATTAAGTGTCCGTATCAGTTCATATAAGTTATTTGAACAGAAAATTAATTTAGTAGTAATTTAGCTGTATTAACGGAAAAGACTGAGTAGTTTACCAGTATCACACTGTGATATGGTTGCGCGTTTCGTCACGTTGATGAGAAGTTTCCAATCTTTGAACTTATCTAAGAGAAAGTTGAGGTCTGTTTGCAGCGTAAGCCTGCCTTTATGATCCTGAAGCTCTGTCCAAATCTTAAGGTCATCTACTCAGAGTGCTCCAGGGTATTTGTGGAGCACTGACCGGAGGTTGAGTATAGTACCCTGTGCTACACATTTACGTACGTTGTCCAGAAAGAGTCTGTAGTTGATCTTGACTCTGTCTTTTACCTGCGAAGAAATACTTCATTCAATAGAGCATTGTGTTTAGTTGCATGAGCAAACTTATGTGGGGCGGTTTCGCTTGACTGAAACCTATAAAAACATATTGTTGTCCCTAGATATTCCCTGGCTTTCTTTGGCTATGAGAAATAGTTTCAGATATGAGGAGCCCCTCCGAAAACCGTTCCGCGTTGAACAATATGTTGTTTTCCAAAATCGCTACGATAGCTTCTTTGATTATCTTTTTAGGCTGTTGGTTAAGGTGATGGTAAAATTTATAGGCCTGTAGTTTGAAGGACGGTGTCTGGGACATCTCTTATCGATAGGTGTTACTGTTTCGTCCTATCAGCCAAGTGCTAACACTATAGGGGAAGGGTAACCTGCAGATAGTGGTGGACACGCCGGTTACATGAGGTACCAGCTTCCTGAGGGGCGTTTGGTAACGATTATGGGGTTCAATTGTCTTTCGTGTAGCTAGTTTGTTTCAGGATCTGAATAGACTCGACATCTAGTGGGAAGTCGAGACCAGTAGGGTGCAGAAGGTCGGGTGTGAGGACAAATACTCGCCGAAGACATTGGCTGGCGGTTGCGCTATATCGTGAATTGTCAGAAGTTAGAATTCACGGGCCATTGGATCGGGTCCCAGTGGCTTAATGGTGTACGAGCTCGCCTTGTAACCAGAAGGTGCTGGGTTCGAACCTCGGTGGGTGCGTACTGCTGGGGAGTCCCAAACTAGGACGAAGCAGTTGTCCAGTACTCCCAGGTTTTCCAATGGTTCTCTAAGTGATGTCAGCTGATGATGAAATCCTGTAACTAGACTCGACATCGGCAGAATTTATCCTGTTTTCTTATGGCGTGGGCAGAAGTGGTGGCGATTTTTGTGTGAAGACTAGAGAAGTAGTCTGACACTTATACTTAGTTGTGTTTGTGTCAGTAATGAGGTTGCCCACTTCGTCAGTTGTCTTGTCCCTGAAGTTCGTGTACGAAAACGCTTTCGTGTGTTGTTTTATTGAATTTTTAACTAGATTCACTTCAAATTTCATCCGTTATCGATGAGCCTCTGCAATAGCCTTGTTTCTAGCTGCAGTGTACAGTTTCGTGGCATCTGAAGTTTGCAAGGTGATATACACTTTCGAGTACTTGTGTTCACGCCTAAGTAGTCCAAAATTCTTCGGTTTTATTCATGGAGGGTATTGTTTTCGATCAGAATTTGGTTACGCAGGCGTAATATTCATTGAATTGGATCCAAACTGACTTTACATGAGCTTCAAGGTTTGTATTTCAGTCTTTTGACGAGGCTACATAAATGACAGCTCCCCGCATTTTTTGTTGAGCTTATTTTGTGGCCTGGAGTACTGTAGCAGCTGTAAATGTAAGGCTGGACTTAGCGTGATGAGCTCGTAGACCATTAAGCCATTGGGACCTGATCCAATAGCCCATGAATTCTAACTTACTATGTAGCGCGACCACCAACCAATGTCATCGGTAAGCGCTTGTCATCAAACTCGACCTGCTGTACTCCACTGGTCATGATACCTTAAGATTGGGATGCTGAAGAGGGGAACTATGGTTGTTTTCCCCCATACATTTATGACTAGTAGACAGAACACAAGTAAAATCTTGACTAAAGTCAATGAAACTTGAAGTAATTTGTAATTAAAAGACAGTTTCTTATACCTACATCATATATAAGTTTATGGAGTAGTTATTATGAATAAAACGAGGTAGTCATTGCCCAGTAACCCGGGATAGATTTTTCATACACTAGGCAATGAGCCACATATATTGTGTAATGTTCAATGATACTATCCAGTTTTCTAGGTTGAAGCAGGTGAAATGAGGCTCAAAGCTGGGACCCGGTTATTGAAAGTTGAGTGCTTAAGCCGACGAGTCACACTCCCACAACAAGACAGAATGCTTAAATGAGATTAACAGTAGACTTAGAAATCATTTTAAATTCCAGATAATCTCAAGCAATGTACAAAAGGAACATATGATAGTGATAATAGTGAATTAATTATTAAAGTAAAAGCAAAATTAAAAAAATAAACCTTTTTTTTTACAGGGAACGACTACTGAAGAGGTTAATACCGTGGTAGAATAAGAGAGTGGACAGAACTTTTCTGTATAGAGAGTTCGGGGTTGTATTGACGAAGTGCAACGTCTCCACCATACACAAATGCCGAAACCTGACGCCCTTTGCACCACTCGGCCTCTCCTTGTAGATAGTCTTGAAAGACGACTCTGATGGAGCTACATGGCTTGAGTCTACCATTTTTTCATCCTCTTCACACTTGTTAAATTGACACTCATCTACTTTTATTTTCACTTAATAACAATTTTAACCTTATCAAATTTCTAACCTTTTCTTCCTTTGTGCCGTTGAGTACTACGTAATTTACAACTTTTATTTTCGCTTCTAAAGCCACTTCTGAGTAATTATATCAATCATGTCACCCCCTATTACTCAATAATGGACTACTATACATTTTCGGTAAATATAAATATGACTGTACAGCCTCTGAAGATGATTTCGTCGATAAAGAAAATTTTCTTCTCTGAATTTATCTTTTATTTTCTTCATGACTCAATGGGTATTTTCAGTGATTTGAGGCAGAGCAAGAACCCTGTGACAGTGGAAGTTTTCTGTCAAGCTTGTCATAGTGAACACAAGAATCAATTTTCTAAAAAGCTGTATTGATAAGAAAGAATATTCCAAGCACTGTTGGAAGGGTGTGTCTTCGTCGCAATCATATATCCACCCAAATAATCTCAGAGTGTTTAGAAAATCTACAACAGATTTCCTCCGATATTATTAAACATCAAAATATGTAATTGTCAAATACTACATAAATTGAAGTCAACTTGTCTGAAAGTTACTTGTCGATAAATATTTGTACTGACCAAATAAATGTTATTCATGTACTAATTAACTAGATATTTTATTGTTGTTAATAAAATGACCCACTACCCTGTATGTGTTTATAATCACACTAATTCATTTGGTACAACTACTCACTGACAAGTGATCTACCTACAAGTTTACTTTAATTCATACACTGTTCGACTGTATATTTCGATTGAGTTTTTTCTATAAGGCTCTGGGTTAATTTCAGTATAGATTACGTCAATGTCAGTGTAGAACCTGGACACTGTGGTAGGATGTAATTCCATATTAGATAAGTTTATTTTAAATATCACACAGCAACGCAGTACTGACAAGTGGATGACGTTTCGAGCACAAATTATTGCCACTCATAATCATATCAATTTTAGTCACACGGTTTCACAATTTTTCTTATATATATCTTTCTGTCACTCCAACTCACCTCTGTTGTTAGTTGCCACTTTCCATGTCTCCGGTATAGGCGGCGTTACGTCATTCCTATTGTACGTATGCCGTGTTGAATCGATAAACAAAACTTTAGTGATTAACCTCTCACCCTCTCCCACTCTGTTTTGCGATTACACGCAAATGAATGCAGTGCAGCGGTTGAGCTTTATTCTACGTTATTCAACTTAGCTGGGTCAATTATTCTAGGTTGAGCTAAATTTTTATGTTTCAATAATCTAGTTGACCCCAGTCTACTAGTTTGACCTATGTAAAATTGACCTCACTAACAGTCATTACATGGTATTTGGTAAATAATGTTACTTTTTTTATCAGGCCTAGAAACCGGTATTTTGCGACAACATATACTACAAACGGACGCATACTTAATCTCTCATCTCCTCGCCACATAATCTCCTCCATATCACCTTCGCACTGACAACTCACTCGTCGCTCCCCATTGGGATTCCACTCGAGCTATTGCCTGCATTGTGCGCGATGTCATTCGACAGTCCACCTTCATATTCTCCTACATATTTGTTGAGCGATCGGCTCTTGGTTGTTTCGTTCCTAGAGTTTCTTTTTGCTAAATGTTTCCGGCTATTTGATTTTCAGTATGGAGCCAGTAAAGGCAGCTGTTGATGAAAGTCTACAATCTGTTGGAAATCCTTTTCGTTACACACCAAGTTTCTGACCCGTATAGAAAGATCGACTTGACATTGGTGTTGAAAATGCGAATCTTGTTCCTTATGCTGAGTGTAGAAGTTTCCCAAACTGGTTTCAGGTTATTGCAGGCGTATGATGCTTTTCCAATTCTGATGCAGGTGTTTTGTTCAGCGAAGAATATTCTTTTCAATGACTTCATTTTCAAGCTGTTCAGTTGTATTTATATTACAGAAAAAGTTACTAAATGGCACTAAATAATTGCTCAGTCAATATACATATACATAAGTGATAAGAACAACTATAATTAAAATGTTATAAGGGGTAGAGTTGAAGTGGATGGATTACAAAATTATTAAAGATTGTTTATAAGTGAATCAATAACGAAAATAGTTTTTTTAAAAATCGTCAAGCGTGGTCTAAAAATTTTAGAAACTAGGAGTACGATTACGATAAGAATGAAGATGTGAAGTGAAGTGGAATGAATTCAAGTGGTAAAATAAAATAAAAACTATAAAG